TTTGATATGCTTCTGATGTAAATGAACATTATTGGCTGTCTATTTGCATGCCTTTTCTTTAGTGTCGTTCTTGATGAACAATTTCAACTTAACAGAAATTTTGTTCCAAAACGACTGCAAAATTGTATATTTCTGTCATGAGAGAATAGTTCTAAGTCCAGTTCACCAAGTCTTACCCAGGCAGATCAGTAGAAGTATTAAATTGATAGACAGGATATTTATTGGAAATGTTATTTATGATCCCTCATGGAAAACTGAATAGGGTGTTCAATTGCTCTTGCTTGTTGATTAATCAACATTCGGTAGGAAATTAACATATTCATCTTTTCTGTTATTTAGTGGGATACTGCTGGACAGGAGCGGTTCAGGACGATAACAAGCAGTTACTACCGAGGAGCACATGGGATAATTGTAAGATTGTTTACTTGCTTTTTGTATTTTCTTTCGTGCCTTGGGGGTTAGCAGGGTTGAAGAAAATTAATGGTAAGAATAGATCTTGAGCCCCTGGAACTAGAAACCCTTAACTGGGATGGATGCACATGATTTGGTGCAATTGGTCAAACCTGCATGATGAAGTTGGCTGACAATGTTATAAATTTGATGTAGATTATTGATACCCCTTTGTATATATTTTCCTTTCTTTAAATCAAAACGCTTAATATTACCTTAACTATCTTTCTTTCATTTCTATATTAAAGTCGGTAGTTAATGAAAGCGAGTTTTTTTTTTTTTTAAGCTATTCTGAAACATTAACTATGCATGACTTTTTCATATTACATTAGAATGTAATGTGTGGTTTCATTCTTTACCATAAATGAAAGAGTCTTAATTCTACTGGAATTCATCCAGATTGTGTATGATGTTACCGAGATGGAGAGCTTCAATAATGTGAAGCAGTGGCTGAATGAGATTGACAGATATGCAAATGACAGCGTGTGCAAGCTTCTGGTTGGTAATAAATGTGATTTAGTTGAGAACAAGGTTGTTGACACACAAACTGCTAAGGTAAATGTTGTAGTTTAGTTGCGTGAACAATTAATCAGTTTACTTTAAATGCTTATTTTCTTCACCACACTTTTGGGCAGTTGATATGCTCAGTCCACTAAAAGCATCAAACCTGTTCCATAAAACTGTTAAAACTGTGGGCGTGTTTGCATGTTGCTTAATTTGCATGTTTATTTACCTCTTATTTCCAGTTACAAGTCTGGTTATGTTTATTGCATATTATAGTGCTGTAATATTAATTCTTTTTGACATTAAGAAGTGTACCTCGAAGTGCTTTGCATTAGTAGAGTGGGTCTTCAAGGTTTGAGCTTCTGGGAAGTTGAAATGCTCCTAATGACGTTCTGGATGATTCACATAAATGTTGAGTCGGAGAAAGTGATTTTCCATTGATGAACATACAATCTTTGTCTATCAAGCTTTCTATAAATAACAATGATTTGTTAATAATTTCTTGCTGTGGCTTAACTTTCTATCTTGTTTGTAATGATGCACCGTAGGCTTTTGCTGATGAGCTTGGGATCCCTTTCCTTGAGACAAGTGCTAAAGACTCGATCAATGTTGAGCAGGCTTTCTTAACCATGGCTGCCGAGATAAAGAAAAAGTAAAACCACTAATCAACTCTTCCATGCTATAATTCTAAACTCCTTTAACCTAATAATTGCTCCAATGATAACCGTAAAATATCTGTCAAAATCTGTGATATATTTCTTCTTTAAACTACACCTAAAAGAAGAGGAGGTATTAAAAAACGATCTTACGGAATAGCACTTTATTTTGTTTTTGTTACTGTTTAATTTTGTGGACAGATACTACATTGTGGTTTTACTTGCTTGTAAACTCTTATCTTCGTAATCGTTTTTTCGTTTAAAATTTTGCAGAATGGGAAACCAACCAACTGCTAACAATTCGAGCGGAACTGTAGAAATGAAGGGCCAGCCAATTCAGCAGAACAGCAATTGTTGTGGTTAGTCATACCATTCCTAGTATCAAATCTGTTATAAAATCCTAAGGCAGTGGAACTGTGTTGACCGAACTGTCGTGTGGATCCTTCAGAAACTTGTAAAATATTGCCTACTTGAATCTTTGTCTACGGAGAAACTGGAATTAGGCCTGTTAGATGATCGGTATTAAACGTCTACGATGATTGAAAGAAAAATTTGCAGGATTAACGAAAAAATGCAAGGAAAAAGTCGTGCCGGATTGAAGAGTGATAGTTGCATTTGAAGAGTGTTCTTTGCTCAACCCCCTCCCTATGGATTGCCATTAGATTTGTTTGATTTAATTGACACGAACTCATGTTTGAACCCAAATGATGGGTAGACCTGAAAACCCGAGTGAACCCAAACCTGGTTAAACTTGAATGAACTTTAGCCCATCAAACCCGAATTGTGAAAGGCTGGTTAGGATTGGGTTGACATTCCAACACGTTCGACCTGTTTGACTGACATCGTTGGAATCAAATCAACTCTTACAAACCTTTGGATATTTTCTTCACTTTGCCCCTTCCACAAAGTTTTGGTTTGATGGCATTCTTCATCAAATAAATGATTTGAATTTTTGGGCTAAGGGAGAGTTAAAGCATTTTAATTGATGTTTTTCTTTCATTTACACGGAAGAAAATCAAATTCGTGACCCTTTCCTCGCCACTTTGGTCAATCCGTTTGAATTAAAATTTTCATTTGAATTTATTTAGAATTTTGGATCAAATTCCAAAATTAAAATGATGGACAGTAGAGTGGAACACACCAATTAACAAAATTAAAGAAATAAAGGACAATTTCAAGTCAATAAGGTTCTTTACTTTTAGAGAGTCGGGAGAGGGGATCATTGTTTTGCAAAGAAATTGTTTTCACGACTTGAAACTATGAATTTCTTGGTTACAAAGAAACAACATTTCTGTTATGCAAGACTCGTCTTGTAATGCAAAACTAAAGAAGTAAAAAACAAAAAAAAAACAAAAAAAAAAACAACGGATATTACAGTGAGCTTTTCTCCTGTATGTTTGGAGCCAGAGATCAACTTGGAAAATTCAACAGAGGGAATGTGGGATGACATACCTTTCTCCTTGAACTGAACCTACATATGCGTCGTCCAATATGCCCTACAGGAAATGACCTAAAAGCCCATCTCAAAAATCTGATATTACATTTTTGGTAGAATTGAAAACAAATGTTTGCTAAAACGAGAGAATTAAAATTGAATAGATAAAATAATACGAATATATACCTCTGTTAAATCATCGATTCAATGTTTTGAATTGCTCCTGTTTAGCTCTACAAAGCTAACACCCTCCTTTTTATCTTGGTCTTCAAATGTTTCAACAATTAACCCCATCATTTTGAAAATGGAATTCAATACTTGTTAAGGAATTAGAGAACGATACATGGCTGCACTATAATTGTGTGTATAGTACCTTGGTCTTGAACTATTTTATAGGTGAAGGCAACAATTTTGGAACCCCAATATTGGGAAACAATGTGCCAGATTGATTTACACACCAAATTTGGTTTAGTTTTTTTTTAGATTTGTTCAACACGTGGTTAGTATTTCAACCCATTCTAGATGTAGGCGACGATTTTCAAACCACAATATTGAAGAAATAATGTGTCTGGATTTGGGGATGGATTTAATAAACCGTATATGGTCTAGATTTTGTCTAGATTTGTTTGACATGCGGTTAGTAATCAATCCATTCTAGGTGAAGGTGACAATTTTGGAACCACAATATTGAAGAAACAATGTGCATGAATCTGGAAATGGATTTAATACACCGTATCTAGTTTAGATTTTCTCTAGATTTGTTCGACAAAGGGTTTAGTTTTTCAACCCATTCTAGATGAAGGGACGGTTTTGGAACCACAGTATTGAAGAAGCAATGTGCTTGAATCTGGAGTTGGATTTAATACGTCGAATATGGTTTAGATTTTCTCTATATTTGTACGACACGTGATTAGTATCTCAACCCATTTCATATGAAGGCGACAATTTTGGAACCCCAGTATTGAAGAAACAATGTGCATGAATCTGGAGAGGGATTTAACATTGTATCTAGTTTAGATTTTCTCTAGATTTGTTCGAGACCTAGTTAATATTTCAACCCATTTTAGGTGAAGGCGACGGTTTTGGAATCATTGTATTGAAGAAACAATGTGCCTGAATGTGGAGATGGATTTAATACACCGTATTTGGTTTAGATTTTCTCTTGATTTGTTCAACATGTGGTACTATTTCAAACCCATTCTAGGTGAAGGCGACGATTTTGGAACCATAGTATTGAAGAAACAATGTGTGGAAGAAAGATTAAACGACGAAATTATTAACCAAACACACGTGGCAATGACCTAACAATTTGTTGTACCATTTTATTTTTCCTATTAACAAACATAAAAAAATGTTGAATACAAGATTACTTGAACCACGAGCCTCTTGCATAATGCTTTTAATTCTTAAAAAATAGGCTTTTTAGCTAAAATGGTCCCTAAGATTGACCTAATTTCTCACTTTAGTCTCTGAGATTAAAAATCAATAAAACTAGTCTCTGATTTTGTCCACGAACAATCGTTTTGGTCCTTAGTGAAAATCTCTATTAAATAAGGAAATAATAAAAATACCCTAAAATTTTGTCTAATAATTTTAGCCTATTATTTTTTAAGTTGAGGATATTCTTGTCATCTTGGTTCTTATAGAACAAATATTTTCACGGAATACTCAAAATAATTAAGGGTGTGCAAACCCAAGAACCTTCGATTTTAAATCTTAGGAACCAAAGTGAGAAGTATGCTAATCTCAAAGATCATTTTGGTTAAAAAACCTAAAAAATATCGAATACCGCAAAACTATATTTCGTTTCAAAGTAGACACCGAAAAAAAATAATCATCGCAACTTCGGAGTGGGGGTATAGGCATAAGCCTTCCTAGACTCCATGACTTCCTCAAACCAAGCGTACCGTAGCGGTTTCTAATAGCAATAGTTCGAATGCGGTTTCTAGTAAATTGGTGAAAAGTAATAATTTTGGCTCTGACCTGTTTAAGTATTTCTACAAATACAATCCAAACCTCGTGAGGCTTAATCTTACTTAGGTGTTTCATCCATCTAATCATCACTGTTATATACCTCATAGATATACCCCTTACAGAAAAAACCCGGGCAACGGGAAAAATAAATTATAGTTTGACAAACGACTAAGCAACAAGAATAAGTTGAAAGCAATAATAACCCACGACAGAGACGAATACGAAATGAGGAAGAGAACAAATACCGGAAAAACTCAATTTAATCAACCTCAGGTTGAAGAACAGCAAGCCTTCTTTGTATTGACCTCTGAATCTCCGGTGACTGCAATTGTCTTCCCTTCTTTGATGCTTGCAGGTGTTGGCTCGCCTGATGAGATAGACTTCTTACTAATAATACGGTATATCTCTGCCAGAATTGTCTGGAAAGCCTTCTCAACGTTGATTGCTTCAAGAGCAGATGTTTCAATGAATGAAAGGCCTTCTTTTTCGGCATAGCCCTGGGCATCTTCTGTGGCAACCGCACGTAGATGCTTCAGATCAGTTTTGTTCCCAATCATCATGATCACGATGTTTGAGTCAGCATGGTCTCTTAATTCCTTCAGCCACCTGCTTACGTTCTCAAATGTTGTTGGTTTTGTTACATCATAGACAAGTAAAGCTCCAAGGGCCCCTCTATAGTAGGCACTAGTGATTGCTCTATATCGCTCCTGTCCTGCTGTGTCCCATATCTGAGCTTTCACAGTTCTCCCCTCGACCTGACAAAATGAACAGGAGGTCTTAAACAGCACAACATTCATCCACTCAAGTGTAAGCCAAAATACTGTCTTATTGACTGAGGGAGGTCTTATAGAGCATGATATTCCAGTCATGATACTTTTACAAAAGGGAGAGCTTTTAGATGTGTTCTAATTGCAATGAAGTGGTGGGTGATAGAGGTGAGACTTTGCTTGTATGATCCTGACCAATCCCAACTTTGGACAGCTTGGCCCAAAGTATTCGGTAAGTTCAACAAGCACAGACAGAATTCAACATGAGTTAAAAGTTTGGCAAACATATGAAGGAGTATCACCAACACAAGCAACTCAAGCAACTTATCAGTGAACCTGTTTAATACAAACCCACATATAGGGAAGGACGAAGAGATGTCCACATCATTGAAAAAATGCGGAAATCAAACCCCCAGTCACTTCAACTTGTGGTCCATTTCTTAGGTTCAACTTCAAAGATTATTTATTGTGCATACAAATACAACTGATCTCATAAATTGAAGTCATGATTCTTTTACAAAAGGAAGAGCTTTTAGATGTGATCTAATTGCAATGAAGTGGTGGGTGATAGAGGTGAGAATTTGCTTGTATGAACCTGACCAATCCTAACTTTGGGCAACTTGGCCCAAAATATTCAGTAAGTTCAGCAAGCACAGATGGAATTCAACACGAGTTAAAAGTTGGTCAAACATATGAAAGAGTATCACTAACACAAGCAACATATAAGTGAACCTGTTTAACACACACCCACATACAGGGCCGGACCAAGAGATGCCTACATCATTGAAAAATGTAGAAATCAAACCTCCAGTCACTTTAACTTGTGATCCATTTCTTAGGTTAAACTTCAAAGATCACTTAAGGTAAAATTAGCCCAATAGGAACCCATTAGTCATCGAAATTGTGCATACAAACACAAATGATCTGATAAATTGAAATGATAATGATGGTTATGATTTCCAATTTTGTCTAATTTATAAACCTTGATGGAGGACTGAAAAATAAAAGGTCCTAATCATTGGACGGCATACTAGTTTGAGGAAATCCACACTTCTCATTGTTTCGTGAACATCCAGTATTGATCCTTCCTCTTCAGTCTTCATACTTGAAATCCGTTATCTCAACAGTATTGGTCCACTACTTAGATTTGTTTAAACAAGTTACTGAAAATTTTACATATAAATTTCTCGCCAACGCAGTCAAGATATCATAATCTAAACACCACAAAAATAACAAGAAACTAACTAAAGAAGATATGACCAACCGTCCCAAGACTCCCTCAGGGCTCATAAGGCAATGTTCGGCAAGCAAGAGCAAACTCCCTAACCCCACAATGCCTGCCCGTAATTGATTCCAAAAAGGCAGGGGCAAGTTTTTAGTATCTAGTTAGGGAATTTGGATTTCTCTTATAAGCAATCGGATTTAGGGACAATCCATCTTTGATTCCACACCATTTCTCATTTCTCACATCATTAGTAACTATATGATCTGCTTAAACTTCAAAAGAAAAGTAAGCAGATTACAAAATGGAACTTGGTACCCCATGGAGTGAAGAACAAACCCAATTGAATCGGTTCTCGAGAATTCAACAAATTGAATTCAATTCTGGAACCAAGAAAACTAGCAGATCTGGAACAATTTCACATTATACAAATTGGAAACCGATCCAAATCCCGGTTCAATTAAGCATTTCTCAGAGAACCCAGATCCAATTAACTCAAGAAACATTAAGAACGAGCATAAAGAATGAGATCAATCCCGGTTCAGTAACAAATACAAACACAATCGGTTTCGTGGGGGTGTGTGTGTAATGCATCTATATATATAAATATATACTGGAGAGCGAGAGAGAGATACAGAGAGAGAGAGAGAGAGGGAGGAGGTGAACCTGGAGAGTCCGGGTGGCAAATTCGACGCCAATGGTGGACTTGGACTCCAAACAGAACTCGTTGCGAGTGAATCGGGAAAGGAGGTTGGATTTCCCTACGCCAGAATCGCCGATTAATACCACTTTGAACAAGTAATCGTATTCCTCGTCCGGCCTTCTCGCCATATCTCTCTCTTTCTCTCTGTTTTTTATTTGTAATTTCGATGTTAAGCGAAGAAGAAGCAGCAGCAGCAGAAGCGGAAGATGTGTGGAACGGACGAAAAATCAAAAGCCGTGATGTGGGTTTCGTTGGCCTTTTTGGCAGATACAAAATGTCCCCAGTCTTTTGACTAAATTACCCTTTACTGTTTAATGGCTTATTCACTTGTGATTTTGGAAATAAGAGTCAATTGGTACTAAGATTTATCGGTATTCTTTTTCGCTCACGTGTGAGAGTTCTTAGGTTTGATTCTTATCAAAGAAAAATTTGAACCACATTGAGGCTAAGCTCACATCTGCCTCCTAGTGTAGATAATATCGTTTGTTAAAAAAAAAAATTGAAATAAGGGTAGAAAAGGAAATTAAAGTAGGAGATGTGTAACGGAGAGGCATCCTTGTACTCGAGTAGGTGAGAGGATTCTCGCTGGATCCTCCAATCACATTTGTTTATCGTATATCGTGCAGTTAGTTTTTGTCAGATATTGTTTATATTGAATTTTAAATAAAAAATTTGCAATGTTTTCTGACCTCACGATGTATGATGAACGGGTGTGATTTAAGGATCCTTGGGATCCTCACAAAGAGGATTCAGCAAGGATCCTCACTCCTCGAGTAGTAACCAATTTTGCAGTTGAGAATACTCTGCATTATTATCACGATTTGAATAACCGAATTTAAGATGTGAAGAAGAACATCGACATACGATAATATTAAATAGCAATTTATATAGGGTGGTGCTATTTGTCAAAGTTTCAGAGAAATGTGCCGTAGTCCACCACTAACAACATTGATGTTGTTTCCACTTAATCACCTGTGCAATCAATAGGTGTGAGGTTTTTATGCAAAAAGGCTCGAGGCAAATAGAAGTTGAACCATTTGATATAAGTTATGATTTGCTTTGTATAATGGCTGATGTTGGGCATTTTGCTTTATTCAACATGCCCTTCACATTGGGCCTTTTGGGAGTTGGCCAGACGTGAAGCTACATCGGTCATGTTTGAAAACTCGTTCTAAAACCAAATTAAAGCTTCAGAGAAACATGTCATGGTCCACCACTAATAGCAATAATATTGTCCTCATTAATCATCCGTGCAATCAATAGGTGTGGGGTTTTTATGCAAAAGGCCTTGATGCAATTAGAAGTGGACCTTTGATATAAGTTTGATTTGTTTTGTATGATGACCGATGCGAGACTTTTTGCTTTATTCAACACTATCTACATATTTAGTGGCGAAGCTACAGAGAGACTGGGAGGGCGCCCGCCCCTCCCCTCGTCGAAAATTAAGCCCAGGAGCGTGGTTTCGCCCCTCTGGTCTCATCGTAATTAATAGCTGCACCTGCACTATAGATTGGTTTCTGGGTTTCTGCTTAAGTTTCTGTATGTTATTTATTTTTTTTCAAATCCCTTTAACGAAACGATGCCGTTTCATTTTGTATTAAAAAAAACCTCTTTAATCTTACTATGCCGTTTTGTTTAATGCATTAAAAAGAAATAAAAAATTTAAAGGGGACCTGTAGTATCCCACATCGCCCGTGAGGGCTTGGTCTTTGGGCCTTATATATCCATTGCCAACCTTAAGTTTCAGTGAGGCCTTTTGCGGACTCCCTGAGGGGAGAGCAGGCGCTGGCTACGGCTGAGTACCGGTCCGCAGGAACAAAACCGTGCGGTAGCTCTGTCTGCGGGCAGGGAATGCCAAAGCGGACAATATCACTGGAGCTGAGGGTTGGGATGTGACAATTTGGTATCAGAGCCAGACTCACGGTCGTGGTGTGCCGACGAGGACGTCGGGCTCCCTAAGGGGGGTGGATTGTAGTATCCCACATCGCCCGTGAGGGCTTGGTCTTTGGGCCTTATATATCCATTGCCAACCTTAAGTTTCAGTGAGGCCTTTTGCGGACTCCCTGAGGGGAGAGCAGGCGCTGGCTACGGCTGAGTACCGGTCCGCAGGAACAAAACCGTGCGGTAGCTCTGTCTGCGGGCAGGGAATGCCAAAGCGGACAATATCACTGGAGCTGAGGGTTGGGATGTGACAGGACCACTGTCCCCATGCCTTCCATTATTCAAAGAAGCCTTCACTTTTTGAAAACCAGTCCCCTTTTTTATAACCAATCAGAATACTTATGCCCCGCCCCCCCCCCCCCACCCCAAAAATCCCAGCAACAGTTTCACGTTTCAGCGCCTCCTGCCTCTGTCTCATTTTGTTGTCCCTTATTTCTCCTTCAAGCCAAGCCAGTCACTACTGCCAACCTCTAACAGCCAACTGTTGGTTGGTTGGTTGGTTTTTTGCTTATTGCTCAATTTTAGGTAAATTTTTTAACTTTCTAATTTATATTATCCCTAACCCTAATTGATTAATTAATACGAAATTTTAGTTAATTAATATAGAATCATAGAGTAATACACTAATATAGTTATTGATTATTGATTTTTGCGTATAAATATGAATCCTATGAATGATTATTGATGAATGAAATTATTGCCTAGAGTAAAAATTGAATTCTTGTTATTGATTAATTGATTATTGATATTAATTTATGAATTGAATTTTTTGTATTAAATAATTTATATGAATATTGGTATTGATTAATTGAATTGTTGGTTTAATTAGTTAGTACTCATATTGACTATAGTATAGTTTATTATAGGATTAATAGTCTATGACTTTTTTCTTTTCTTTTCCATATATAGTTACATAATGGAACGATACTATAAAAAATAGTGCTTAAATCCTCCTTCAAATATTCCGGCTAGTCCTTCTTCGAATATTCCGAGTAGTCCTCCTTCGAATATTCCAAATATTCCTTCTTCGAGTATTTCGGGTAGTTCCCAACAAAGTGAGGTAATTGAGTTGAATGAAATACTGGCTAATCTTCATGCAGACTCTAGACATAGACGTTGAATGCTTGATTATCCACCTAATTATCGTGAAGCAATTTGTCGACACTATCTCTAAAATAATCCTTGTCAACCTCAAGACCACATCATGCCTAGAAAAGTTAGCAACAATCGATGTTTTGTCACCCATTGGTTTGATAATTTTAAGTGGTTGGAGTATAATATAGTAAAAGATGCCGCATTTTGCTGTATTGCTATCTATTCAAGTGTGATTTTGATAAAGAGGGAAATGCCGAAAGTGATCACTGAGATTGAGTTTACAAATTGGAGGAAAGGACTCGACAATTTTCGAGATCATGAGAGAGGTGTTGGAAGTCTTCATAATAAAGCTTTACAACAAGCTAGAGATTTGATGACACAAAAGCAACATTTCGAAACATTTGTGATTAAGCAAACCGATGAAGTTTGCATTAACACTTTGTTGCGTGGCACACTTAATTGCACAAGATGGTTGTTGCAACAAGGTTTGCCTTTTTCATGGCGATGATGAATCGTTCAAATCAAGCAATAGGGGTAATTATTTGGAGCTTATGCAATTTCTTGCCGATCATAATGATAAAGTTAGGAAGTGTTTGAGAATACTCCCAAGAATCTCAAGTATACTTCTTCCGATATTTAAAAAATCTTGTCCGTGCTTGTGCTATTGAAACTATTGGTGCAATTATTAAAGATATGGAAGGTACATTTTTTTTTTCTTTTGGTTGATGGATTACGTGATTCTTCAACTAAAGAGCAAATGGCGGTGGTATTGCGTTATGCGAACAAAGAATGAGAAGTAATTGAAAGGTTTTTGAGTGTGCAACATGTCTCCTCTACAACTAGTAGCTCGCTTGAAGAGGTCATTAAGAGATTATTTGCTTCAACAAATTTGAGTATGTCCAAGTTACGGGGACAAGGCTATGATGGAGCTAGTAATATGAAAGGAGAAATAAATGGCCTTAAAGCAAATTTTGAACAAGTATCCTCAAGCATTTTATGTTAATCGTTTTGCACACCAACTTCAACCAACTCTTGTAGCCGTTGCAAATTGAAGGTGTCGTCATTTTCTTCAACAATGCTAGTATTTTGGTCAATACTATTAGATCATCGTGTAAGCGTTGTGATGCATTTAGAGAGAAACAACTACAACAAATTAAGAAAGGTCTTGATATTGGTGATCTTGAAACGGGTAGAAGGTTAAATCAAGAGATTAGTCTCATGCGTCCTTATGATACATGTTGGAACTCACATTATGGTACTATAGTTAGTATTATTTTCATATTTGAAGTTGTGGTAGAGGTGCTTAAATAGATTAAGGATGATACCAACCAAGACAATTTAGGTGAAGTAAGTAAGTTATTCCATGACATACAAACTTTTGATTTTGTATTTCTCCTTTTTTTTTTATGAGACTCATATTGAGAATTACAAATGAGTTATTGCAAAAGAAAGATCAAGATATTGTGAATGCAATGACATAAGTGGAAGTATGCAAGCAAAGACTACAATTCTTGAGAGATGATGACTTTGGGGACTTGCTTGATGATGTACAAAAATTTTGTCAAGAGCATGATATTGTCATTCCTAACATGGAGGATTTGAGTTTTGTACTCGAAAAATCAAGGCGTAAAGCTCCAAGACTCACAAACTTCTATTACTATTGTGTGGACCTCTATTTTCAAGTCCTTAATACGCAATTAAAGGAATTGAATGATTGCTTCAATAAGGTAAACACCGAATTGCTTCTTTGTATGGCATGTTTGAGTCCGATGAATAAGTTTGCATCTTTTGACAAAGGAAAAATTGTTCGTCTAGCCCAACTTTATCTTTAAGATTTTGATTGTATAGACCCTATGAATCTTCCAATTCAACTTGACAATTACATTCATGATATGAAGATGCATAGTGAGTATAGTGAGTTTTCATCATTGAGAGGAATTGATGATCTTGAAAAGGAGTTGGTGAAGACCGAGAGGTGTGCAAACTATATGTTAGTGTATAAGCTTCTTATATTGCCTTTAGTGTTACCAGTTGCAACCGCTTCGGTGGAGATAGCTTTTTCTAGAATGAAGATTGTGAAAACACTATTGCATAACAAAATGGTAGATCAATGGTTGAGTGATAGCATGCTTGTTTACATTGAGAGAGACGTATTTACTTTTATTGATAGTGAGCCTATTATGCGGCATTTTCATGATATGA